CATACTTCCCAGCATGCTTTGTTTAAAGGGTAGAATTCTCCGGAGACCGTTTTCTCTTGTGGTTAAAGAAAATATACATCATGGAAACTTGCTATGTCACATACTAAAAGAACAGTTTGACATTTCAGAATATACACTACATTTTCTTGCTCCCAGCCTTTGTGCTAAGCTACGTTAACTGGCTTCTGGCTGTAGCTTTGTATTTGCCATACAGGCACGAGTGGCTATTAAGGTTAGGTAGTAATGAAAACAATGTGAACCATGTTAAGATTAGTATCTACTTCAGTCCCTAACCCTCTTCACTTTTAAATTAACAGAGCTGCCTGGAGCAGCCGTGTACGGTGACTCCAGCCATACGGCCTGTGTGACAACTAAAGAACCAGCTCATCAACTCAGAATATATGACTGGTAGACAAATTTAACTGAAATAACAGATGTTTTGGCCACACAACACTGACATATTACCACCTTTTAAGTGAATATAGCGAACAAGTTGTTCATCCGGCAGATATGAGTTACATGACCACCTGATAAGTCCAATATTCACTCTCTTTTAGCTCTGTATTTGTTCTCCACCAGCTCCTGAGGGAAATATCTCTTTAGCTGCTAAATGCTCCAATATGTTCACCAGCTAGTCGCTAACTTTTCCTGTCTGTTGTTAGGTGTTGGGCAGGTAGCTTTTCCACTGAACTGCCAGTAATGGCCAAAAACAATGCTCCTGAGAGTGTTTAGAGTGACCTAAAACAGAGAAGTTGCAGGTGGAAGAAAAACATCTATTTTAATATGTTAAATTTACTGAATTTGTTTTCTCAAGGTCAGTGTCTTTAACTCAAATTACATTCTCACAACTCATGCCAGACTCAACAGTTAACTCACATATTTAGGTATATCTACATTTTTAAGTTGAACCAGCTTCCGATCTTTTACTGTGCTCTTCTATAGGCTCTACACCTGCCTCTGGCTCCTGCCTGCATGCAACTTGATTCTTTTTCTCAAGTATACACCTCTAAATGGCCTCTAAATGGCTCAGAAAAAAATGGAAAATAATCAGATACAGATTCATGTAGGTGATCCCTGATGTTCTGCACTGCTGCACAGGTCAGTCCAAAGAATCCTTCCTCCCAAGGAGTGGTTGTACTTTCAGTCCAGGTGTGCAGAGACACAGAGAGGGAATGTTGCCAGGACTTTGTTTTTTAATGTGATAGCTATCGCCCTGGAAGAGCTATATAGTCAAGTGTCAGAGTCATACATTCCTCGAGGAGGCAGGAAGGGAGGTAGCTGCTTGTGTGGAGCTCTTTTTGTCCCATTAACACCTTTTTACAGTTGCTCCTTCACCTAACCTTGATCCATGGCACGTTGCCTCTGGCAGACATGAAACGCCCTAGTAAGATATTTTACCAAGGGGTAGGCTGTGGCTGTATGCTCAGGCCACTTATGAAGAACAGAGAGAAAGTCTGAGGCTGAGAACTGATAAATCGTTAGCGTTTAGCTCGTGTTCAGCACGTCTTGCCTGGCAGAGGGTTATTGGCAGACCGGAGAGTGTAGGTCTCTCTCTCTGGCAGATTTACTGCATGCCAGAGGCTGAGGTTTGAGGAATGTCCCCCTGCAGTGAGATAGAGAGGGCCATAGGAGGGTGAATTAGACAGGCTGAGGCATCTGTACCTCAAGATAATATAGAACCTGACAGTAAGACAAGATTTTATATTCCAATCAAAGGATTTGGAGCTCTCTCTGTCTCATTGGGACATTGTCTGTTTGTACAAATTAAGGCCTCAAATATCAAAACTCAGCAAGAGTCTCACCTATTAGTGATTTAAGTGGAAAATACTGTCATGATTTTAAGCAAATTAGATTCTTTAGTCTTTAAAATGGGTTCATACAAACATAGTATCTGCACAGCCCGCTATGCTAATGTTAGCTTACTCAATGTTGCACAATGTTGTCAGTGCTTGATGGCATTGGATAAGCGCATGTTTCCCTACATGACAAGCTGCCCCACATTTTGATCCATCAGGGTTGCATCTGTTTAAACATTGGCCACAACCCACTCTGGGAGGACAGTGAATTAAGCACATTAATCCTTATCCCTCCTGTAAAAAGGACATAAAGTCGGAAAGGATTTAAAGCATTGTGGCTTTAAATCCTGCTGCTCTGGTTTAATTTTATTTCTTACATGCTCATTCTGTCAAAAGACTATTGTCAGGTGACTATTGACCTGATCCTTGCACTTTGTTCTGTTGGCTGCCTGTAATTTTGGTGATCTACACAGGATTATTAGAGATTAGTCTGCTGTTGCAGAGACCGCAAGTCACTCTGGATAAGATAAAATGCCTTAAAACGTGAAATACAAACAGCAAAATCACAGCAGCTTCCTTTCGAAGGACAGTCAGTGAGATAATTTGATTATGATTTGTGCTGTTCATCGACAAATTCTTATTGGAACAAACAAGTTAACGTTGCTGGGTGGTGAAGGATGTTTGTGATTAGGAAGGATGTTGGCTTGAACACTGCTCTTCCTGAATCAGCGTGCCTGTGTGTGCTACAGTATGTGCTTTAGATTACATTCCCTGAAACCCTGTCCTTATGCATTAGTTTGCAGTCTGTATTCTGCATTTGAATTCATATCATTTGATGTATTAAGGCAAATTCCCGAAATGACGGGAACTTGTCTGTGCATGAGCCAACCCTCTCAAGACGGATGAAACATGACCAATACACATCCCCATAAAAAATAGGCATTTTCCATATATGTCATCTGACTGTTGCCCTGATGGATTTGCTGCTTTGGTGCTTTGCTTCTTCATATATCAAGAGTTGTTTTAATGTCTAGAGCAGACCAGTTGCTCTGGAAACTGAGGGTTAAGCCAATATTCTAGTGCTCCTGAAACTATACTTCTATCACACACACTGTGCGTTTAAGACCCATTAACATAAGAAATATAAACACAGACATGTAGAAATATGCATGCACACACATTCATATTCAAATACACCTGCGCTTGGCTTTCTGCTGTGGTGCTCAGGTGTCTGGGCATGCCTGGTTATGCCTTTTAGCTCCCTTTGATTGTTTGGCATCTTTGACCTTTTCCCCAACTGGAGAAAGCAACACTGTGACGTTATTTATACCTCACCTAGTCCATTATACCAAACGATATGATAAAAGCGGAATGGAGTTTTACAAGGGAGGGATGTTTAATGAGGGGGAAACAAAGGCTTGACTGTGGGAATCTCCACGAAGGGCTGTTTTAATCAGACGGCCGTTTAAGACACACTAGACACGGTCAAGGTCACTGATGAACGTGAGCTCATTTGACATCCAATTTGTATTTTTAAGCCTCTCCCTTTCACAGAAAGCAACAATACGTTGCTGATGTTACTTTTGAATTGCAATCAGACCAAATAGATTCAGTTTTTGATAATACAACCATAAAGTCCTAAAATGACGGCAGTATTTTAGTATAAAGCAGTGTTTCGCAAGACTTGGTTCAAGAGATACAAAAACAAACACCTCGCTGTGTGAGAAAATGTGTGTGTATCTGAGTGGGCAAGACTTCACCTGCTTGGCAAGCTGCCTATCTGCAAGCTGCCGGGGGTTTTGTATCATCTTTGTGAAATCATTTCCACAGCAACGTAACAGAAAGACAAAGAACTCACAATAAGGAATTTATCGTCATGCCATAAACAGTACACTCCACACACAAACAATAAGCTTCTGTTACAGTTGTTATACTGTGTGAGTGCAGTACACTGTTATCACACTGCATGGCACCAGTTTAAGCCAAGGAGTATTTCAAACCCAGGTACACTGATAGCTGAGAGGTTGCCCTGAGTGACAGGGCATTGATCCATGTGTCTGTCTTGAAGGTCAGGCAGTCTCAGTTGCACTGGGTTTGAACTCAGGGGAAGAAAATGATGTGATGTGGCCCCCTGGTTCACGCTGCTGAATGACCAAGCAACTCTCCAACATTATCCACCATCACAGAGCCACAGACTGAGACGAAAAGTTTGATACACTGTATTGTCATTTATTAGCCTAATATATTTGCCACAGGAATCTTCTGGTTTTCTATGAAGCACAAAACAACTTAAAGTGAGGTCAGAGGACCATGAAGGATCTTAAAGATGGTTCAAAGAGGCCCTGGGTAAAGAATAGTTTACTTTATGTTTTACTTGCTCATTTCCAAGAGGGTCATGTCAGATTTTGGGCTGCTTCTTATTGAAAAACCTTAAATTCCATACTTTCGTTTCTCAACTCGACACCATAAATGTTGCGTAACTTTCATTGTGGTATTTGTACATTTATTACCATATGCAGAAGTCAGTTTGCAGTTCTTAGATTTTTTTTTACGGGCATTGAGGTGAATACAAAGAGAAAAAAAAACAATCTTTATAACAACACAGAGGGGATTTATAATATGTCCATGCCACTGGAAAAGAAATGTATAGTAATCTTATCAGTATTTTTCACCCCTTTTGCTTACTTTAAGACTCCTGTAACATTGCTGCAGGTGTTACTCATTGAGTTTATGATACTTCTGGTACTTAATTCATGCATAACTACTTTTTAATATTGCATTAGGGACTTAAACTGTGATACACAATGGGAAGCTAAAAGTAACTGTGCTGTTAATGGTATTTTATATCCCCAGTGGTATTACTATAATGTTGCTGTGGAGGCTAGTGTATCAGTAGTGTACACTGCCCTTCTGCTTTTCAATTTAAAAATATATTGTGTGTGCAAATAGAGAGAGAGAGAGAGAGAGAGAGAGAGAGAGAGAGAGAGATGTATATTAAGATACCCGGACTATCCACTCGACCTCAGCTTGGATTCATTCCTCCCCACCGGCCAGACTTGCGTATGTTATGTGGGGGAGAGAGGCGGGACCTCGCAGCCGGGAAGGGCGTTCTCTTTGCGGTCAGACCGGGCAGAGTCATCCCGAAGGGGTGGGTCCTCCGGCAGCAGAAAAGGAAAACCCACTTTTTTTCATTGTTAAGGACGCGGTGGAATGTGATGGTTTGATCTCAAACGAGGCAGGGAGGGGAATATCCGAGAGGAAAAGGACCGACGAAAGTGATTTAGGGAAAAAAGAGGGGAAACCAAAGCGCATTCCCACCTCTCTCTCTCCCCCCCCCCTCACCTCCCCCCTGGTCGTCTCTCAAACTCTCTCCGCCTATGTGAGGATATGTGGATGAACTTGTCCTCGCCGTGTCGGCAGCAGCGAGTCCTACCGTCCGCATGAGCTCGAGCCGTGTGAAGTTGTGGATTTACCGTCGCGTTTTCGGGACCCGGCGGTGGAGCAGCTGAGGTAAAGTTTGAGTCTTTGTGTTTCACTGTGTTTTAGGGGGTTGGATAAGGAACATGGGAACAGGGAATTTTTTGCGGGGGGGTTGGTGGTGGTGGTTTCAGACAGCGGCTTCCTGAGTTGGACCCAGTCAGTCGGGACTGCAGAAGTCTGAACTGCGGCAAGTTTTTCAACCCTCCTCCTCCTCCTCCTCCTTCTTGTTCTTCTCGTCCTCCTCCTCCTCCTCTTCCTCCTCAGCTCGTTCTGGAGCCAAAATGAAGCATCCAGGAAAACCTCAGGTGGTTAAACTGTAGCGTCGCACAGACCATTTGTAACTTATTGTCTTCACACATCGCAGGCTTTTACAATGTGTAGCGTATTTGGCGGCATACTCCTTACATGTTCGCGCTTCGCTTACGTCTACGCACTTGATAACGTCAAGCCCTGTTCATAGAAGCTACTGCATAACAAGAACATCATAAAAACCTTAACAGACATCAATCACATCAGTAAAAAAAAAAAAAGAGTTGCCTGCTTGTACATGCTCCTGACATCCATGCAGTCTATGTATGGCCACTGGTCAGGTTTTATCTTGTGCGCAGTTTCAACATGTAACTTGTAATCAAGCTGTAATTCCCCTGTTTCTTAAGTGGGAATTTAAGGGTTGTTTTTTTTTTTTTGTCCATGAAGGCAAAGTGTTTCACTTTCCTTTGATGGCTTTTAATATCAGCCACATGAGATAGCATATCCAGACTTCCAGAGACACTTAGGCCCTCTTTTCCTTCAGGATTTAGGGAAGCAAGAACAGTGTTTACTCACACACACATATATTTTGTACACTCTGGACTCTAAAGTTTAGAGTATGTTTACAGAAAGGAGAGATCACATGTGTGATATGTGGTAGATAAGACATGTGGTGGCACATGGTACAGTATATAATCTGACCTAAATAATATTTTGGGGTTAGCTTAATCACACTAAGGGTGTTATAAAATCACAACTGAGCACATTAGGAAGGGGAATTGAACATCACCTGTATTTATATACTAATATTATCTGTTGAATGAGCGTATTGTTAATTAACAACATTGACATAATGAACCTGTTATTGTAACACACACTGAATACTGAAGTTAATGATTAATAGCTTTAGTAATTTATCAAGGAGAAATTACCAATATTCTCCGGTTCCAACTTCTCAAATGTGAAGATTTGTTGCCTTTTATATTATATAAATATATTATGTGAATATATGACTGTAATATAAATATTAAAACAAGTTATTTGAAGATGTCACCTGCAGCTTTGGGAAGCTGTAATCGGCACTTTTCAGTTTTCTAGTATTTTATAGACAATTAATTGAACTGGACGCATTAAACAACAACTAAAATGATCCGAAGTTGTGGCCCTACTTGGATGATTTGTTAAATCAACACACAGTGTAGCAAGACGTGTTTGTTCTGTTTGAGTGTGTGTGTGTTTGTGTGTGTGTGTTTGTTTTCCTCCACATGAGGTGGAATGTGTTGCGCTGCATAGGCCACACATACATGCATGAAACTAAGGTGGCAGATCTCATAGTCTGAACAGTATGTGCCCTGTGCTGCCTCACCCAAACACTAATAGAGGAGTGTGTGTGTGTGTGTGTGTATGTGTATGTGTCTGTGTGGGTGCATGTGTCAACAACAGAAAAAGGTTGTTGTAGTGGTGGAATACTAATCTGCCAGGTGGGGCTCGTAAAGAGCAGCACAGGGAGGGAAGGAGATGGAGGGGACCTGCCTTGACCTGTTTCAGACATGAAGGAGACAAAAAAAAATAACTGATGACTTTCCAGTAAGGCTCGCCCTCCCAGCCAGCTGTAGATTATACCAGCTGAGCTACCAGCTTGTGCTGAGAACCCACTTTTCCTCCTGGGCTCTGCAACAGGCACTTGCATGGCAGCTTGTCATGGTGGTAGATGTGCAAAAAGGGTTTCCTAGGGTATTTTCGGGAGGGGGGGTTATACACCGCCTGTGGAGGGAATGTCTGCAGTTTATGCTGTCAGTTTGGAAATGTTGGGAAAAATGCAAAGGGAAAATTAAATGAGAGTACCAGCAAAGTAAAGAGTGAGATGTCTAAAATTTCCCTGATGACTGCTACTCGATCCATGCATTTACAGTCTTGGGAAATTACGCTCCAAGTGAGATTTGGTTGCATTGGCTCTCACGGGGGAATAATTCCCAGCGGATGACCCCCTCTGACTTTCATCCCAGTAAGTGAACATGATTGCTGAGTGCAATGATAGTTGTTAATGTTGACAAAGTAGGAGTGCCACTGCCACCGCCACTTGTTTCGTGATCTTTTTAAAGTGATCTTGATGCCAGCAAGTGAAAGTTACACAAAGACAGAGTTTGCACCATGTTCTGTCCAGGAGTTGTCGCCTGCCATGCAAAGTAATAATCATACCCCTCTCTCTTTTATGACCTGGGCTATACCACGCATGATTGGTTTTCCACTCCGCAGAACGCCGTGACCGCCCTATGAAACTGCCTGCACTACTTTGGGTGAAACCAAAAACTAATCATTATGGGTGTCCAATAAGGGTAATTATCAGACTAAGCACTGGACCTGGGGATTACGGAGTGGCTAAATGACTGCTCTGGGGATTAAATTAAAATATTGAGGTTTTCTGCCTGGGAGAATCAAACCGCTGGGAATGTCAAACCCAGCCTGTCGATGGTAGTATTACTGCCACTCCGCACATCAAGGTTTATGCACAGAGCCCCTGCTGTTAGTGTAGGGCCATCACATCAGTGAGGAAGTCTAGCACATGGACATTGACGTCATGTTTTGCAAGTGGAGGCAAATAAGAATAGGATATTGCTATTGCTTAGTTGGATGGAAAAGGCGTGTTGAGAAATAGTTTTATAATGTGACATCACTCACACTAAATTCCTTTGTGCTAACACTGGTAACAAACCATGTAATAATTAACAGCGAACAGTTATTTTCGTTATCGATACATCTGACGGTGTTTGATTAATCAGTGAAAGGGCCAGTGTGTAGGGTTCAGTGGCATCTAGTGGTGAAGTTGCAGATTGCAGTCATTTGAATATGGCTCAGCCTTTCAAGTGTGTAGGAGAAACACCGTGGGCATGAAACTCGTGAGGAACTGTGTGGTTTGTCCTTTCTGGGCTACTGTAGGAACATGGCGGACTCCATAGAAGATGACTTGCTCCCTCTGTGGATAAAAACGTTATTTTCAGGTGATTATACACTAATCAAAACATACTTATGAATATTGTATTCCATTTCTACCAATAGATCCTCCTAAATGTTACACACTGAACCTTTAAATCGTTTTTTTCCTCATGAAATGTCATAAACTAGTGGAAAAAGACCATTATAATTTCCCAGAGCCTAAGGTGATGTTTTGAAATGGATTGTTTTAAATGACCAACAGCTCAAACCATAAAGATATTCAATTCACTGTCAAATATGACAAAGGAAAACCTAAAATCTTCATTTGAGAAGCTGAAACCTGAGTTCGTTTTTCAGTTATCAAACTAGTTGCTGTTTTAATTCATTTTCAATCGACTACCGAATTGTTAACACAATGAAGACAACTTAAAATGTCAGTGTATCTTGTTGGTTCCACCCCTATGAGCACACGTGTGTCCCTTTTGTAGCGTAATCTATACATCCTAATAAGCTGTAATTGATAGCTCAGCTAGAATTTGGACCGGATGGTGTTAGTGTTGGTTATTATTAGTGGTAGACTCGGGCCTCCTTGAAATAGCACGAATGAATCATGGTCTCTTAGAGGCTCGTATTAAAATCCCACACACAGCCTGTGAGTGTATATCCTTTTGTGAATGTGTGTGTATGCATGTGTGTGTTTTGTGATAATGCAATAATAGGGCTCAGTATCCGGGACAGAGGCTGCTGTTGACAATACGCAGGCCAGCTGGAGTTGCTGTCTGTCTATTAGCAGACTTGCATGAGAATGGCTTAATGCACCGACGCCTAAATGAGACTGTGTATTTATGTACTGTATCTCTGGAGTGTGTGTGTTTCCTGGCGGTAGGAAGAGCTGAAATGATTAATCAGTCAATCAGCAGAAAACAGAAAACTATTGTGAATTAGGATAAGTGTAATGAGGATTTTATACTTTTCTTTCTCTATCATATGATTGTAAACTAAACTTCCTCGGCTGTTGGACTTTTTGCAAAAGCAATCATTTTGAAGACGTCACCTTGCACTCTGGGAAATCATGATGAGGATTTTTCACTATTTTCTGACATTTATAGACCAAATTATTTCATCTGTTGCGAAAGTAATGGGCGGATCATGAACCACGATGAAATGAACGTTAGCTGCAGCCCTAGAGGTGGCAGCTTGTGTGCAGTTTATGTCTTTATATTTTGGCTATTTTGGCTGGTGTTACTGAAATCAACAGAAAATGAATCCATAAATAAAAATACCCAACTTTATCTGCAGCTTGTTTGATTTAAGAGCTTTTCTCTGTTTTATAGCAATTGTAGTTAAATTTAGTTTTTTGAACATCCGTTTTGTTTTTTACACTAAACTATATCTCCATAATGAATATTGTCATTAGTTGCAGCACTGTGTGTATGGGTCCAATGTGTACAACCTCCAGACCTTTTCTTACTCTAAACCTTTTATTTTCCCATCACCTCCTTTCATTTTGTTTCTCTCCTCTTCTGTATGCATTAATATTCCCCTCTTCATCCTTTTCTTCTGCTCCTTTTCTCTCTCTTTCTGCCTGCCCTCCCTGCCAGCTTTCTTTATCAGTGGTGGGCCAGTAACAGGGCAGGGCTCTGTGATTTCAGCTGGAGCTCAAACTACTTGAACTTTGTGTGCATTCGTGGGTTTATTATGTGTGTGTGTGGGGGTGTGTGTGTGTGTGTGCATGCATGTCTGCGCACCAAAGCACTTTTCCTCAGTGCTGTTCCCAGCCATGTCGATCTGTCATCGGATACTAGAGTATGAGAGTGTCAATCACTCAGCGAGTAGTAGCCAGAAGT